CTTTTCTATAAGATTCTTTTTGGATTGGTCTAAACATTTAATGTATTATTACCTATTTTATCCCTAATTTAATGTATTAAATACATTCTCTCTTTTCATTTATCTCACTATTATTCTCTCACATTTATCTATTTATATATAAAGGTATGTTTGGAAAAAAAAATTACATTTACTACGTATTAATTACTTTTAATTAATTCTAACTTTTTTAAACGGTGTAATTTAGTCAAAAGGATGTTATAATAAGAAACATAATAGTAATAATATAACAATAGAAAAGTGGAGTATCATAAAAAATTATTTTGGTGAAGACTTTGGCTAAATTAACTTACTTAGAGGATATTCATGTTTTGAAATCTGAGTATCGTTCAGTATCAGCCCATCTCTCGTCACTGCACTTCTTGCGCTCTGCTTAGCCTCTTACATTCAGATCTCAGAATCTCTTCTATTTTCTCTTCAAAACAACACTCAAATTTCAGAGAAAACGAAGGCAAGAATACATAATGTGTTTATTTTCTACTCTTCCAGTCTTAAATATAAAACCTTTATACTAATGTGTATAAGAGTTTTATATTTAGAACCGGAAGAGTATTTCTGTAGTTGTGTTGACTTTCACAGAGCTCAAGCTCTTTAATGGCAATTTTCAATCTTCGGAGTCATTGTATATACATCTGAATCTTGTAACTTTTTAAATTAATATTTCATTTTAAAATTGTAAAATTCGTAAGACTTGTTTCTTTGAGTTGTATGTTTCTTTGAATCATGATTTTTGTTTGTTATTGTTTTTCCTCCATTATTCGATTCACACTAAATTAAAAAAAAAAATTGCTAGAATACTTTTGATTATGTTTGTAATATTATTGATAATTTTAATAGTTTAAAACTATAAAATTCACCATAAAAATGTTCATTCACGCTGGACTTGTTTGGGGCGTGCTGTTTGTGCTTTCTGGTGAGGGTGTTTAGATGGAATCAAAACCATACTTTTAAAAATATTTTTACGGTATACAAAATAAATATGTGAAGAAATTTATGAGCTGTTTGAATCAGCTTCTAAGTAGCTTTTTAATCATGATTTACGGAATACGAGATATATATATATGAAAAAATTATTTTTGATTTACGTAAAACGTGTTTATAAGATATTTTTACCGCTATTCTAAACAGGGGAAAAAAATATTTTTTTTAAATATTTTTTACGGCAGCGAACCCTCTTGGACTCTGAAAAGTTAGTACACCCATAATACTATTACTCTAAATTAGCACCTCTGAGCAATACTCAAACGGGCGCTTTTCGGCAACTTTCCCTTCAATAGTGCTATATTTATTCCCTTTCCCCTCTTTTGTGTCCTCCTTTTTCTCGGCTCCTCAAATGCATAGCCTGCTCAACGCTGAAATGTTAAAAAAGTTAGCAAATATATATTATGATATTTCTTGTATAACTTTAATTATAATATTTTAGGAATATTTTCAATTATAAATATTTAATTTTGTTTGAAAAAGGAGAACTGGGAAATGCATATTTATTTCTTGCCCATTAAAAAATACGCATTCAGAAAAAAAGGTGAATTGTGAAGTGCATTTTTTTTCCGGTATATATAGTTTCAATTATAACCTTGTAGGCATTATATTTTTTAGCATTTGGTTATTAGAATTTAGAGGGCTAATTTGTACCATCTAAATCCTTATATTTATTATGTTAAGTTCTACAAATAACGATACATCTTGACTATTTTTTTATGTGGGTTTATAATTTATGATAATATTGAAGAACAACTTCATATAATAAACATAATGAAGTGGACTTAAGTATTGTAAATAAACAAAACTTCAACTGTATTAACTCTGATTTAAAATCTAATAATTTTTCAATTTTATCTTAAATTTTTTCACAATAATTTTATTTTTATTTAATATTACTCATTTTAGGAAAATAACAGTCTACCCAATAATGAATAAGAAGTAAAATAAGATATTCATATAAAAAATTTAATAATATGGACTTATTAATATAAAAGTTTTTATTTAGCTTATAAATAAGATTAAGAAGAAAATACTCCTCTTATCCTAGTTTGATATTTTTGGAAAATTTAAATATTCTGCATGCTTCGCAGAGATCATGTCCTCATGCAAAGCACTTTTTGCTTTTGTTTTTAGTGAGTGTTTGACAATTGTCAAAAACACTTTCTAAAAGTATTTTTTCGCAAAACGAGACAAACTCCTTTACGTATATACTTTTTAAACCGTAAAATCACTTTCAAAACTATGGTTTGATTTCTGTCCAAACACTCTTAAATGTTGACTCATTACAAAAAGTGTTTCTTTAAATTATTGAACCAAGTGGGGGACATTACAGCGCATAATAATTAATGAAAGACTTTGAATCTTGACTCATTATAAATAGATTTTATAAACATTTAGTATTTATTAGCAAAAGCATAGCGTGACAAAAGAAGAATTATTAAATGTTACCCCCAAAAAAATTATTGAAACTTTAATATAAAAAAGATAGGTTCTGGTGGCTACAGTGAAAGAATCTTGATTATCATCTCACTCTCTCAGTTCTTCCTGTGTTCCTCAAATTCCTGCTTCTGCTTCTCAGTTTTACATGCTCTTTCTGGTTTCTATCTCTCACTTCCATTCACTTTCTCTTTTGTTGCTCCCTTTGCTCATCTTATTTATGTTCTCTGTCTTCATAAAACAAAAGCAGATTTCTCTGTGAAAACATCGTTGAAGTCGTTGAAGAAACAAGGGAAGAGAAACAAAAAGGTAAAATCTTCATTATTATTGATGACTAATCTTGTGAGTTTAATTATTAGTACTAAATTTCACTCTATATGTTATCTTGTTTTTTTTTTTTGCCGGACTTTCTTTGGGCTTTGCTATCTGTGTGTTCTAGATTCATAAAAATATTTCCCTCTACTCTGATTTTCATTCATAGCTTCATGTGCATTCAACAAACAAATTTTAAAAAAAAGGTAAGGATGCATTTTAATGATGTTCTTATGCCAGTAGTATATTCTAATTAGTAATTATGTTTATAATGCTATACTGCTATAGCTGTTCGTCCGTTTCTTTATTTTTTTTAATTTTTAATTTATTTTATATCTATGTGTGTATATGACAAATTAATCAATATCAGTTAATGAAAATGTTTTAAAAGTTTAATCGACAAATGAAATCCTAAGCCAATAGCACTTGGTCTAGTGGTGAACCGGCTAGAATCTCATCTTCTTAATTTTAAATTGACAGGACTTGATTAAGATGTTTCTGCTTAACTGTTTGTATGCTCTAGATTTACTGGATTTCTGTCTCAAACCCGAAAAAGGATAAACAAAAAAAGAGAGGTAAGAATAATACGCTTAGATGAGTACTACCTTCAGTCCTTAATCAGGTTTTAACTGATCAACCTACCCAGGGCCAACTCTTTTTGTTGGTAAAATTAAAAAAAAAAACGAAATTGCTAAAATACTTTTGATTATGTTTGTGATATTAACATTTCCATAATTCTTTCGTTAAATTTAATATTTTGTTGCTCCCTCACCTTATGGTACTCAATAAATATTATTGATAATTTTAATAGGTTAAAACTGTAAATTTCATTCTGAAAATGTTCATTTACGCAGGACTTGTTTCAGGTTTGCTGTTCATGCGTTGTAGTGTGCCTTTTTTGGCTCCCATTTATAGCTTCGTCCATCTTTCAGGAAAAGAAAAGGCAAAAAAGAAAGGTAATAATACATTTAAATTAGGAAAAACTGCTGAAAAATACTTGTTTAAAAATTTTATTGCCCTAAAGTACCCATACAGAAAAGCATCAGTACTCTGAAAAGTTTATACACACATGATAATTGAATGTAACTGAATGCTATCGAATCAAAACAATCTTAAAACAAAAGATCTCAATCATCATCCACCTTCTCTCTCGAAAAAGGAGGAGGTTGATGAATGATGCAAAAAGTATCCGCCATATTGTGGGAAATCTTAGCAAAATGATCAGCTAAGGCCAGATCTCTAAACACATGCATGGTTGATCCTGCCACTCCCTAAGAATCAAAATCCTAATGTCATTGTTAACAATATCACTTAAGAAAATAGTTTCATTTCTTTGAAAAAATTCATTCTATCAGTTCGTCTTCCATTACTCAAACTTTTGCATTCTGCTTTTCAATTTCATAACCAAAATACAGAAGCCAAAAAGGAGAGTCTCCGGCGAAGAACGTTGGAGTGTCTTAAAAAAAAAAAAAGCAGGTAAAAAATTTATAATTCTCACTGTGTTTCTTTTCCTCTTGTATGAATATTGGTATTCTTATTTGCATTTCCTTCCATGTTTAGTCTTTCATTTGCTTTACCTGTGATAATATTTAGATCAAAAATTCTATTTAGTTATTTTTCCAGTTCAGATCATTGTTGATTAGATTTAAAACCATTCACATTGAATATCTTAACATAGGTATAATTTTACTTTTTTAAAAAAAAATTTATACTTCTTTTCGCTTTAATTTTTATTTATCCTTCTTTTTCCTCCATTATTCGGTTCACAATAAATTTGGAAAAAAAAATGAAATTGCTAAAATACTTTTGATTATGTTTGTGATATTAACATTTCCATCGTTCCTTCATTATTTTTTTTTTGGTCAGAAAGTACGTCATATTAAAAAAGTAAACCAGCACACCTCAAAGTTCCCAAACAAAACAAAACGCAAAAACAGAGAAAACAGAGAACATAAACTGGAAAACAACTCTTCCAACACCAAAACAACAACTAAAGAGAAAAAGCAAAACAGCAATTTCTGACGCCAAGGTAGCTCTGGAACTTTTCCGTGACAGTAGAGAAGATAAGCATGGCAGCATAGAAGATGAGCACTAGGTAAATATCCATCAAGAGGGGCCAAGAACAAAGCAAAAGAAAAACTGGGATTGGGGGGCATAAAACCCAACCATAAAGGCCACAAACCCATTAACCAACTCCTTAGCTTAATCAAAGAAGCTAAGTTACGATACTAAGCAACAATTTCCAGAAGAGATATGTGCTCAAGAAAGAAGCTCCGCCAATCACAACTTAGCTGAGCATAACAAAAAAGAACTAGGAGCTTTTTGTCCTCTTGATTTCCAGTCGACCAATAACCCATCATCAAAGCCACAGGAAACACATCCCCTACTCTCATTTCAGAACCATCAGCCCTAACAATTACCCTCACTTGTTTCTTAGAATCAAACAAATAATAAAGACATCCAGGTGGCACCCAATGTGCATCATCCTTAATTTTTAGTATATCTCTTCTGAATGCCACAAAGAAGCTTAACTTGCCACTAAATTTCCAAAACTCCACAACTTCAACAAAGCTAACTGCAGGAAACATAGTTGAGCCCAAAAAAACACCACCTCTGTCAATGGCAATCCTATCTTGAGAGAAGAAAAAGCTAAAGCCCCATTTAACCTTTAAGAACACTGCGGTAAGCACTAGACGAACTAAAGCCAGAGATTCAAACCAGTGAAAATTGTATCTAACCAGATCCTTCGTTACAAATTCGCACATATATCTCATATTCCAGGTACTCCATGAAGCAAAAATCAAAACAAACAGCATAGCACCTATTCCATATCCATCAATCAGACCATTTAGCCTCATGAAGACTACAATAGGGCTAATAGAAAAAAGAGAACCAAAGCATTTTACCTTGTAAATCCAAGACAAAGGATTCCATTCGACCATGTTTACAGCAAGGCACTGCAAAGTTGGATTTACTCTGAGATTCTTCAATCCGTCTCTCATAGATCTGAATAGATATATTCGAAGAGTTAACCGAGATCCAAAGCTTTCGACAGTTTCACTTCCCAAGCCTCCACCTCTCATCAGCTCTTTTCGATTTTCAGCCTCCTCGAAGGTGCCGAATAACGACATTCTATTATAAGGAAACACCAAATCTGCCAGCAACTCATAGATCACTCCATTCCCCAACCTCTTTCGGCCATGGTAGATTTCTGCATCTTCCATCTTCGATTCTGTCTGTATCTGTCGAAATCTCGCCATCGGTCATCAACACGATGCTTTCTGAGTCTCTAATTAGGTCCATCCACTAATCTTCCTCCTTCACTTCCATAAGCATCGCAGCTTCAGATCTGACCTTCCTCTTAATATCCATCTCCCAAAACCACGGCAAAAACTCTAACGCATGCACACGCCAACTCACACACACTAGACTCACTCTCCCCCTGCGGCTGCCGGGGAGAGGACGCCGAGAAACAACGCTCACCAGGGAGCGGTTTTGGCTCTCACAGGGGAGAGAATTTCACTCTCACGGGAGGAGAGAATCTATCATTCTTTCATTAAATTTGATCTTTCATTGCTCACTCTCCTTGTGTCATAATAATATTTATTGATGGTTTTAATAGTTTAAAACTATAAATTTCACCCCATAAATTTTCATTTGCACAGGACCTGTTTTGCCCTTGTTGTTCGTGCATTATAGTGTGCTTTTATTTTCATTCATAGCTTCGTGCATCTTTTTTTTTTTTTTTTTTGAGTTACATGGGAGCGGGATCGAACCCGCGTCACTCACACACCCACGCACACACCCACACCACTGGGCCAACAGGCCGGTGGTAGCTTCGTGCATCTTTCAGGAAAAAAAAGATAATAATACATTCAAATTAGGAAAGAATCAACATGTGCGTGTGTGTGTAAGATGTGAGTTTGTGCGCGCGCGCGCATTCAATTTACCTATTTTTAATGTTTCAAGTATCCCAAGTGTTCTCCATTTTTATTAGCCAAATAGTACAAGAATACATTGCTCTGTGTTATTCTTTTTCATACGAAATATACAAGAAAAATGAAGAATTACCATCACATATAAAGAAAGCAAAAATTATCTGAATTAACAATGGAAACAAACGGCACGAATGAAAAACTAAATTGATTATATCCACTTATCATCACAAAACCTAGCCTGAGAAATGTTAAAAGCTCATTCTGGCCAAAGAAATGTTAACAGCTCATAATTATTCTTAATATCCGCAAATTCTAAATTTTTTAAATTAAATTTGTGAGGATGCCAAAGGTTGTATAGCATTTTTTTATATCTCATACTTGTTAGGTAATTTTTTTTATCGACTTTTCTTTTTCTACTGCTAATTTTTATGCGTTTACATTTGGCAGATTTTGTGTTTCACTCCTGCTAAGAATCTTTTCATTTTTCTTTTTATCACCTTAGTTTGCGCCAAATTTTAAAAAAAGAAAGAAAAAGAAAAAGAAAAGTGAAAAGGAGGTCTCTTTGTCCAACAACATTGAAATCTCACCCAAAAAAAGTAAGAATATATTATATCATGTTTCATTTCATGTTAATGCTTATATTGTCTTTTGCTATATGACTGGTCTGGGCTATCAATTACGGCATGGTTTACAATTTTAATATCTACAATCATTTTGAGAATTTTATATTTATAAGATTACTTTTATTTTGCAATTTGCATCGTGTAGGATAAGACTTAATTTGATGCCTGGAGAAAGAAATTTGTGCTTTAAATTTTGTCCAAACCAGCATTAAACATTTTCATCATAAAAAATTGTAAATACTAAATTGTGTGTGTTTCTGATTGACAGATTTGTGTAATAGTCTTCTTATTGTTCTCTTCATTGGTTATTCTTCATCGATTTTTTTAAGGTAATATATCTTTATCTTGTTTCTTTTCATGTTATGTTGATATATTTGTGAGACTTTTAGGTTATAGCTTTTACTAATGACCATAAAATACTTTTTGTTATTCTTATACAACAACGTTCGTGTAATTTTATCAAAACTAAAATTGAATAATATTGGGAAACAAAGGAGAAGTGTGTAGCATATAACTTGTGATCCCAAAAATAAAATATATAGAGGACTTTTCTATTACCGATGTATATGATTATCATTTTAAATAACATATATAGTTTCTCATTGTTAATAGTATAAGGATGTTCTTTATTCTTTTGTAACCTCAATATATGACTTCAATGCTTAGAGCAGAGGCTATACATAAAGCATTTGTACTATGAAACAAAGTAAATGAGAAAAAAACCATTGTCTTCTCTATCTCTTATTTTCTTTTATATTCTCTAATTTTTTTTTATTTCTTCTCGTTTAATAACAAAGCTTGAATTTAAATATTGTTTTGATACTTGTGGGACCCATATCAATAATTCACCTCTTCTTATCGGCAAGGGGAAAAAAAACCTTCTTAATATCAAAGCCATGACCTTCATCTTCTAAATTGGACCTAAGCCTGGCCCTAAAAGATTTTCTTGCTTTGTGTATTAAATTTACCATTGAAACCTTACTTTATTGAAATTTAAGTGCTAAATATTCTGGGACATTTTATAAAATGTTTTGCCCTCCATGCTCCATTTAATTCTTTGCCTCATAAAATAATGTCTATAAAATTGTTGGGCCAAATCAATATTTTGATTATTTTCTAACTATTTTTTCTTGATTTATTCAAGAAAATAGGACCTTAATTCTCATATAAATTAGTTTAAAAATTATGTAAGCTACTTTTGGAAAAATAGACCTCTTCATAGTATATCCAAATCCTCAAACAATGTTAATGTTGCCCCAATTTTGAAGACTTTGAATAATTTTATAAATTATTTCTTCTTTATTTTTTTAAAATTTCATCTGAAAATAGGTTTTTTGACCAATAATTAATTTTTTTAGGCAATTTAATTTTGAATAATATCTCTAAGCCTTAAATATGTCTTAGACAAGCTCTTTTATACTTTTCCAGATTTTATTTTATAGAATGAATAATATATATTTTATTTTATATATATTTTGCTAACGTATTATATATATACTCCCTCCGTCTCTTATTATAAGATCCAATTTTTTGAATAGGTTTGTCCCTTTTTAAAAGATCCTTTTTGAGTTTGTCTAAATATTTAATGTATTATTACCTATTTTACTTCTAGTTTAATGTATTTAATATATTCTCTTTTTTCATTTATCTCATTATTACTCTTTCACATCTACCCATTTGTATATAAAGGTATATTTGAAAAAAAATTGCATTTACTACATATTTATTACTTTTAAATAATTTTAACTGTTTTCTTAAATTGCGCAATTTAGTTAAAAAGATCTTATAATAAGAGATGGAGTAGTATATTTATATAAAAAGGGCTTTTTCTTTGCACCGCATAGCTAGATTTCGTTCTATATATTACATGTTCAATCATAAAATTCAGCTCAGACAATCATGACAATCAATCACACAAACAACTAACCAACACAATATTAATATCCAAGTCAATAACTTTGCTACCTTTTCCAATGGTATGACCTTTTTATTTTAAAATTTGATAAATATACATTATGATTTTTCTTTTGCATAGTTGTAATTATACGAGATGCGTATTTCCTTTTGATCCCAAATGATATTATGTGAAGGAATTAATTTTTAATCACTTTCATCTCAGACTTGTTATATATTTTCTATCAATAATATTTCTCATGTAATGAATTCTTTTGCATATTTTTGGTTGGCAGGATTTGACTTCTTGTATTAATTCAGGGAGTAAAATTTCTCAAAAAAAAAAAAGGTAAGGATATAATCTAATTTGCTGGTGTTTCTCTTTATTTTTTTATATCATCTTAATGTTTCTATTGTTATTTTCCTTACGCTTTCGATCGAGAGAGAGAGAGATATATATATATATATATATATAAATATATCAATTCTATTTTTAAAATTAATCATATTTTCAGCATTTTGATGATGACTTCTATTACGAAGTATGAAGTGTGTTATATATGCAACACACCAAAAGAACAAAAGTAAATGTGATATTCTAAAACTTATTAGACTGTTGGTGGGGGGCTCTCTTGTCGTAGTCTTGGAATTTTTTTCTTTCACCCTGCATTACTTCTCTTCTTGCCGAAATATGGAAGGGCACCCTTTAGGGCATATATGGTTTGAGGGGGGGTGGGAGAGGTTTTAACAGATGGAATATGAAAAAAATAATTATAATTTTATTATATTTTAGGCTATTTGATTTATTTGGATTTATTATCATCATTTTAAGATTTATTTAGATTTATTAGTTTTAGTATTTTTATTGTTAGGATTAGTTGTTGTTGTTGTTTTAGTATAATTAGATTTAAGGTTTTCATTTTATGGTAGACTTGATTATTGAATGATATTACAGTTATTGTTTCCTTTCGGCTTGTTTCCTCTTCTCCATTCTCTATTTTCCCTTCTTTGCTCTTTCTAATCTCTTCCTTTCCTCTTCCTCTTCTTGTTTTATATCATTAACCTTACCTTGTTTGGTTTGATTAAAGAGGAGGAGATGGAGGAATTTTAATGATCCTTTGTTTAATTTAAGAGAGGGAGGAGAAGGATAGTCATAGTCAATTTATTATCTTACCCTCACATATTAACTTTTATTTTTATTTATATATTGCATAAATTTAATTTACATCCTAATTCAAATTACATAATTTGATAAAAATGCAATATTGTTATATTAATATGTGTATTAAACAATTGGTACAGTAGATTTTTAGTCTAATTAGCATAATAATATATTTCAAATAATCAAATTAGCAAATTTACTTGTTTTTTAAAAAAATGAAATTTTTTCTGGCCTTTTTCTTTGTGCTTTAAACAATGTTAATTTTTTTGGTAAAATTGTAAAAACTAATTATTTATAATTATAAACCATAATAATATTTTTTATTTAAATTAATATTTTAACATTATTTATGTGTATTAATAAAATATAAAAAAAGTAAGATGGTAAAATGGTCTAAAAATTTACCTTCCTTCTAAAAAATCCCAATTTCAAGGGAGCTAAATAAGAGAAGGTGAGGGAGGAAGGGAAATTTTTGCTCCCCTCCCCTCTAACATTTCTAACCAAATGAGAGGAGGGGCTCATTTTTCCTGCCCTCCCTCATCCTTCCCTCCAACCAAACAGATCCTTGGAGATGGCTCCCTCCAACCAAACAGGCCTTTAGAGATGGTTAG